GTTTTAGAATTTACAAAATAAATTCCTCTTTTAAATGAATGAAAGCACTGCTATTGGATTCTAACATATAATACATCTACTGAATTCCTGGAAACAGTGACTGCATCTTGCAATATGGTACAGATCAAACAGCATCAAGGTAAGGAAGCATATCTAAGGCTCCTTCTATACAGCCATATAATTCAGATGATCAAAGCAGATAATCCATATTATCTACTTTGAACTGGATTATATGAGTCTACACTGTAATATAATCCAGTTCAGACAACTTGGATTTTATATGGCAGTGTAGAAGGGGCCTAAGACACCATAAAAATCTTCAGGTCAGTTCCGCAAGAAAATCTTAAACAGAGGCTGGATGGCCATCTGTCAGGGGTGATTTGAATGCAATATTCCTGCTTCTTGGCAGGGGGTTGGACTGGATGGCCCATGAGGTCTCTTCCAACTCTTTGATTCTATGATTCTATGAAAAACACAGGTAAATTGTACTGCAGTCACAGAATCTGCACAGACCAGCTGTGTTGGAATGCACTTAAAAGAACGTGTTGCAATGTATTTAAAGGAATTCACTTCCACACAGGTCCAAAACTCATGAGGGGTTGTGGATTAACATGAGGTGTCCAAACACCGCCACAGGATAATCTGGATTAATCCAGAGTAAACCGGTATTTCCTGATTTACTTTGGATCTAAAACAATACCTGAAAAGGTCCGGATCTTACTGCAAGTTCCAGATCTTTACAGGTTTGGGGTCTGTGGGGATTCACTCTAGGGACCACCTTCCGGTCAATCCTCATTGCCATCTTGGTTTTTTGGGCTCCAAGAACCCAAAGGAGTGGGATGGCACTCTCACCCTCCCCTCCCAGCCCCCATTTCCCATGTAAACTTACTGAAGGGGGCTGGCTGCATCCTCAGGTGCCACGGAGAAAGCTTCTGACATGTAGAATATCACATCAGGAGCTTTGGAGAGGGGAGAGGGAAAACAGCCTCCACTGGTAAATTTAGAGTGGAAACAGGGGGGAGGGGGCTGGCTAGATGCCATCACCCCATGTGAAATCTTGGGGTCTGGAGCTTCTGTGTGGCGTCAATCTCAATTCCTCTTAGGATTTTGGCCTGTCTGGAAGGGTCCACAGTTAACCTCTAATCACTTATTGGATGCAAGAATGTCTACAATCCAACCCCTCCACATGTGAAGACACCAAATGACACCAAATGTGTCTCCTCATCCTTATCAATGTTGCCTATAAAATGTTATTTTCCTCAGATAACATCCTTCAATAAACTATTCCTGCTCCTGGTAGTAATAATCTGCATAGATGAACCCTCTTAGTTGCGCTAGGCTGAGTGACAAGAAGAGAGGACAAAATGAAGGAAAGTAAAAGACCCAAATCCATTCATCCTTTCCCTTGATTATCTTGCATGCCAACATGCTCTCCTCACTCTCCCTTTAGCCATAAGGATGGTTAGTGGGTCCAGAATGTGACTGAAAGAGCATGCACAGAAGAATGCCGGGAGAAGCTTTCAGTTTCTTGTAGCAAGCAATGGTTTATTCTATTGCGGAAAGTTCCTTATACTTTTGCATTTAATACATACACACAAACACAGTGGATTATGATTTTCTCTTGCCTTGTGTTACATGCTGGAAGCAGCCAAAATCATTTTAGTACATCTCATTCTACACAAAAATTCAGTATTCTGGTATGATAAGCAAACATATTTCATTTGACAAGACATGAAGAAATGTACACCAACAAAAACAGGACCAGGTCTTCCTTTCCTAAGTAACAGACTATAAACGATATCTTCAATTTTTTTAGAAAATGTTCTTTAAGTATTTTACATGCATACATGACAGCTTTGTTTTGTTCATATAAGAAAGGCACAAGATGTGCTTATATGCCTGCCTTACCAACATTCTCTCAAATGTCTTTTAATTAAGAAAACTTTAGCCAGGAACTAAAAGAACTCTTGACTCACCTATAAACAAGCTAGCAAAGGAAATAAACAGGGACAAAACTCCCATACACCTGACCTTTCCCTGTCCTGCCCAATAAAACCATAGTCCAATCAAAATGAACAAGGATTGTAAATCATATTATTCTGAGCTCTCATTCTAACAAGAAATGTTTATAAAAGTGACACCAAAGATTCAATTATTAGGGGTTTTTTTCATGTCAGGAACGACTTGAGAAACTGCAAGTTGCTTCTGGTGTGAGAGAATTGGCCATCTGCAAAGACATTGCCCAGAGGATGTCCAGATGTTTTGATGTTTTACCATCCTTGTGAGAGGCTTCTCTCATGTCCCTGAATGGGAAACCAGAGCTGACAGAGGGAGCTCATCTGTGCTCTCCCCAGATTCCAACCTCCGACCTGTCAATCTTCAGTCCTGCCAGCACAAGGGTTTAACCCATTGTGACACCTGGGGCCCCAATTATTAGGTCATATCCAATGTATCTCTGCTGATGAAAGGATCCCTTTTCCAGAGCAATGCTGAGAGAAGGATTTTTGACACTTGCCCTCAAAGCCCTTTCCCACCCCATACTTTTCTTTAGAGCGTACAGGGAACTCTTCAGGACCGAAAAGGAAATGATGCAGGATTGCTGGGCCAAAAGACTTCCCTTAGAAGGAGTAATATTTGATGTAACCTCATGTTTTTACAGTAGTATATTTCTTGTTATTTTAAAACAAACTTAAATTTTATTTCAAAAGATGAGAGATGTTTTTTAAAATGAAGAGCCCAAGCATATAATTTAGACCCAACTATTTAACACCTAAATTGTTTGTGTCAGTTTGTGCAATTAATACAAATGACCAAACATGATGAAAATTCAAATATTAAAAATATTAATAAGCAAGTCCCAAGGGAGGTCTATGCAACCAGGCTCGGGAAATAGTCTGACCACAGCCTTTTTGTGTCTGCTGTAGTTTCTAAATATTTTCCAAAGGCAATGGCATGTAATTGAGGAATATATCACTCTGGCCAGATCGCATATTTTTAACAACAGGAGCAGCTGTGCACAAGTTTTAATTGTACATATAGATCCTTCTACCATTGAAACCTGGGCATCTAAAGAGTTTATAACAAACATTATCATCAAATCAGGGTTCCAGGTTTGCCAATGACAGATATGACAGATATCTAAAGAGTTTATAACAAACATTATCATCAAATCAGGGTTCCAGGTTTGCCAATGACAGATATGGCAACTGAGAGCTATCGTGGTTTGATTTTGGTTTGACAGGAGAAAGAGGAAACCAGAAGCTCTAGTTTGAAAAACCTATTGTATTCAATTCATGGTTGTTTCAGCTCATCCTGTTAATAGAGAAGTCAAGAAAGGACGGCTGAGTCACATTCACAAACACAAATGATAAGCTAAGATTCTCCATAATTCTGCCTTATAATTGTTTGTGCATTCAACTAATACACATGTCCTATCCTCAACATAAAATGATATGAAATGTTCATCATATTACTGCTGGTGGGCAATCAACAACAAAAGTACAATATCCTGTAAAAGTAGAATCCATAACTTTTGTAGAAGAGGGGTTTTTTTTAATTAGAAAGAAGGGAAATGCAAGAAAGTAATTTGCATGACATCGTGAATGTCTAATTTGCAAAGCACATTAATGGTGTATAGACCCATTCACAACTGCAATGAGAGTCATGCTCATATGGGCCAAAACAGAGGCAATTTGTAGCATCCCAGAGATTCATGTGGGATTCACATGAGAGCAAGGCCACCTATTTTTAGGATCACTTTATTAATCTGCTACTTTTTTTCTTAAGAAATTATACATCTCCTCTTGTACGGACTATCTAAAGGCAAAAGAGAAATGGCTGTGACCAGTCAATATTCACTTGACTTTGAAGGTATCAACACTAACATGAACATTATACTGTATAGAGAGCCCTCTAAATCTGCAGCCTCTAAGTCTGTGATTGCAACCAACCATGGTTAATCATGCCCCACATGATTACATGGCAGTAACATCAAGATAGACATGCTGAAGTGTGCACATTCATGCTGCCACCATTTTATGATTTTTCATATCTATGTTGGGTCCAAACATCAAACACCCCCAGGTATAGTGGGCTCACTATAACTGAAATGGATTCCCACTGAAAGATCAGGTTTGCAGCCTTTGAAACTCTTGGATCTATTTGGTCCAAATGACATTGGTAGCTTGGAGTGCCCTTTATTAGCTTGGACAGGGATAGCTTGGCAACTGTGGTTGGGACATGGATAAACAGTCTGGGCTGTTGTAATGTGTTCTAAGGCTACTCTTGAGGCTGATAGAAAAACTGTGACTGGGACAGAATTTTTCAGCTAGATTTTGGAGTGGGTCATGCTAATGGCCCAAAATATCTTGGGAATCGGTTGCCTACCATGTCCTTTTCCTAGTTTACTTTACAAGTTAGGTATGCCTTCGTTGTTTAGTCCCATCTCATATCTACTTTGCAGAAAATATGAAGTGTGTATATTGATTTCTGTGATGTGCATTTCATGTTTTACTAATACATACTACTTTGTGATTTCTATATCTAAAAGGTATATACATATATCTGTAAATAAAAAATATATGTATCTAAAAGATATTCAACCATTTCTGAATTAATATATTTTGCACATAGTCATGTAATAAGAATACTGTGCCAGTGTTTTCCCTTTATGTAAGGCTATTGTCTCATACAAAATCCAACAAAATGGGAACTTCCAAAATCTACCAATGTAGCAACATAACTTGAAGAGCCAGCACATTCAAACCTCAAACCTTTGTTCTGAATTTCCCTGAAGGAGGACGATTAGGATGTGAGATAAAATGCACTGCAATTAATTTTTTCTGCTCGTCTGTCCCATTGTCCTTTTATTTTTATTATATTGTATACATATAAAAAAAAACCAGAATGTCAGTAAAAAAAGGCAAGACTGCATTTTTGCTATCAACCCTGCTTATAAAAAAGGAACCCTGTGGATATTGATAAATTTTCACAGCACTTACCTCTCCCTTTTAGGAGTGTGGACTGATAGCTGTCCATTTGTTGAGGCATGTGGGTTTATTATTAAGGAGGTCTTAGAAGAAGCTGAGGAGGAGAGACACGTCGTCGACAGGTCCAAGCTACTGTGGTTGTTGCTTACAGCTTCCTCTGCTGTGTGAGAACCTGTCACTTCTTTCCAGAGTTGCTGTAGTTCAGTTGGAATCATGCCTAAAATAAAATGGAATGAATTAAAATCAATTAATTGCTAATTCTGCCACCCTCAAGGAGCAATTAAAATCAAAGTCAATAAACAAAACAAAATGCAGAAGGCTGTTTTTCAAATTTGAAGGACCAAATGCCAACTGCTCTCTCCCTCTCTTTCTCTCTCTGTACACACTCATATGCCATAATATGTAGAAACATTAATGTTCCATCATCCCAAATTGAACACTGACTCAACGTCCATGCGTTATGGTGATTTTAATCTAGCGAACTAGTTCTAATGTATATATTTAAACTATTTTAATGTACATGTATTTATTATGTATTTTATATCATGTTTGGCATTGAATTGAATTTGGAAGCCATTCTAAGTCCCTCCTTGGTGGTTGAGAAGGACAGGGTATAAATGCTTGAAATAAAATAATAAATAATAATAAATAGTTGTTATGTTTTGATGCATTGCCATGGCAAGGTGGATGCTGAGCTGGACAACCCAAAGATCTTAATGTACATGTTTGTGTAGACCCCATGAATTATTGGTTTAGAGCTGGGGAAATGCTAAAGAAGGGGCTGTGCTTTCTATAAAATTTTAGAAAGAAAAGGAGAGCTGGAACTCTCTTAAGAGTAGTGGATACTAGTCAAGTAGATTGTTATCCATGTCTTAACTGTTTTTTCAGCCATCAGGGAAGAACATAAGAAATGGTTTCTGGAGGCACTGAGGAGACTCTTTAATTATGGATTGAAACTTAATTTGATTCATATTAGTCAGTTTTCATTAAATACATTTTAGAGATTGATAACGGAAAACAATACAACTCTTTTGGTCAGAAATTTTGAATATGACATTTGTTTATTGGTTGACTCATAAATTTATGACAGAGGAAATGATACCAGGTGGTGGGGTTAAGTGTTTGTAAAATATTCATTATTTTTTATTATTTTTACACTGAAAGTAGTTAATGTATATAAACATTTTTTTTAAAAAAAGAATAATAAGGGATTGAAACTGGTTTCTTCTAAATGTAAGCTGTTTCAAGCTTTAGTAGATAAATATAAGCAGCACGGGTGGACCTAAACAAGAGCAAAGGAGATGCCCTTACCTCTTAACCAGCGCCTCCCACTCTCACCTGGACCCAGTTACACCAGAGGTGGGAGCCATGTTGCATCACAGATGATATTAGGCTACAACTCTATCCAACCCAACATAGGTAATGAGAAGGAATGCTCCAAGTTATATTCCAACAACATCAAGAAGACTACACAATTTTCATCCCCTAATACAGTGAAAAATCAAAGCTTTTTTTAAAAAAAGTCTGATCCTCATGTTAGCAGAAATATATTTGAAAATGCGAAAGTAAAAAAAAAAATGATGGATCAGAAACCGGCGAGGTGTGGGGTGTGTGAATGCATTATTTTCTTCGTCTTTCATTACTTACACATTGGTGAACTCCTTCAGACACAGGAGTAACAATTTTTAATATTACAGAATACATCCAGCTAGTTCACCACCAAGGATCAGAGCTTTCCAATGCTCTGGTTCACCTAATGCCGTGTTATGCCATGATATTATGGAAAACTAACATGGAAGTTTCACTGATCAGATGCCATGATGTGACAAAGCTGCCATGAAAGGACCAGAGCAGGTACAGACATGGCCAGGACCTACAAAGACATTGGCGTCCTGACAGCCGTTCTAAAATGTCATGTGTTGATGCTGAATGTGCTGGTACCTTTATCTTGGCCTCTTTCACAATGATGAAAGTGATATTTACATAGTGTTGGCTGGACATAGCCAAAATACTTTTCTTTGCAGTGACCCTTCAGCTTGATGTTTGAACAATTTGTCCCATCAAAGCAGTAATTCCAATGTTTTTGTAAGAGTGAATTTAGCAGATATAGAGGGAAAAATAATACATTCTCCCTGGGTGCACAGGGGAACACTTTCCATGGTAATAGCTTGTGATTATAGTCTGATTGGACTGGAAGCTACACTACCTGGGAGTACAATTTTTACTGTAATTTGGCAGAGATTTACCTGACATGTGAGATTGCAGTACAGTGGACAGAAGCCACACATATCACATGCTTTGTATACACTCTCGGGTTCATTCTAGTGAAATCATACAGTGAACAAATATTTTTGGCTGAGATGAGGAAAAGCTGCCATTAGGGCTGAACTAGCTGAATCACTGGTCATCTTCAGCATGACACAGCTCTTTGTATATCCTTACCGACACATCACTAATATTACTTTGGTTTTACTACAGAAACATTTGGTCATTTGGAAGGAAAGAAACAAACAATATGACACAATTTCCTGTGGGAAAACATGATCAGGAAAGGAGTTGAACTACAGCATTTTCAAACTGACAGGATGGTTCTCCTAGATGCTATGGAAAGTAAAGTTACACTTTATATTCTAAAATAATTCCTAGTTGTAGTCTCATGTAAGAGCATCCAAATAAATGGTTTTCATTTTTTGAAAGACAATGGATAAATGTTAAACTCTCTTTAGAGGCAGGAAAGGTCTTCAAAATAAATTTATTCATCTGTGTTATTATGACAACATGAACCACAATGTGACTAATTTCATGCTTAAATTGTAAATTATGACAAATAGCTTTGTTATTAAATACAGTTTTTATTAATCACTTTTAGACATAAATTATGAATTCACATTGTCTTCATGAAATGCTTTTCGAATTTTAACAGTCAAATTGATTATACTATGATTATTTCATTAACACACCTATCTTTCTCATTAATTTTGGTTTCTAGCACTGCTCACTTAATTGATGGATGTGTCTAGTGAAAAAAACCTGCAAGTTTCTACACAAGTAACACTATTATTATTACTGTCATTTCTTGATCAGTGCTAATGAGCCATTGGAAGTGTAATGAAAACATAAAATAATCTTTATTTTTTTTTAAAAAAAATGTTTCCCAACTAGATAAAAATGGATAACCATATTTAGGAGAGTCATACATCCTTCAATTGAAATAAGAATTTTTTTAAAAAATCAACAGGCTAAAAAAGTGCTATGATGTTACATGTATGGTACGATGGCACATCTTTTGGGGATTTGGCAAATTTAAATTGACAGCACAGAAAACTTTTGGAACTTAAAATCTGAGAGTACGTTGTTGTACCATTTAACGCCAACATGATAAAAGCAGGCATTAAGGTATTAAGTAGCTAAGTATTAAAAACCAACAATGTTTTCAAAAGTAAACTGGTCTTTTTTGGTTTTTTGAAGAGGTGGAAGGCAACGATCCAACTGGACTAACTGCTTTGTTTCAAGAAACTTATCCTTTCTGTGGGTTTGAGGGGCGGGACCTGCCATTTGCAAAATATGCATCAGTGCCTGAAACAGACATGTCTCTAAGCAAACCTAAGGCATTAAAATAAAAGGAGTATGCATTATATTCATTTGAAACACATAATAAAAAATGCCAAGGTCTAAATTTAATTTATTTTTGTCATTTAGAATACAATAGGTAGATAATCATCTCAACGTGATCAGCCAAACATCTTTACTTTGCTAAACTGTTAAAGATTTTAATTATGCTAGCTTTGGAGAGCACTGGTCTAATGAGGCGATAGACTCCAGAGAATCTAAGTGGTTAAGAACTGTGAAATGAGTCTGATAGGATTTTTTTTATATTCACCGTGAATCGTTTGCATATCAAAGAGGAGTAAATTATTGCACGGCAGACCAATAACCTTCCTCGCCTTTCTGAGAGTAGCATTAACAAAAACATTTGGTCTTTGCTAGTGGGCTGACTAAAAAAAAATTTACAGAAATGCTTTAAGTGTCCGCAATTAGTATATATTCTAAAAGATGCTTCAATTTATACATTAAGTGATCAGATAGTCTTAAGATATAGTATATCTATTGCTGTAAAGCCATTTCTTTCCCCTTTCATAAAAATCAAATGCCAATTACATTTTGATGGATTTTGTCCCATATGAGCAGTTAGTTATTAGACATATTCAATTATTACTTGTCCTCTGAAATTAAACCTCTGAGGCAATTTAAACAAAGAGAAAGGTCAAGGCACAATCCTGTGCCTTGTTTAGCTGCAACTGGGCTATTATTTTCAAACACCTTGCAAACTGACAGTGTGGGGTGTATTTTTAGCTAACATGCTTGACAGAACTGTCTCCACACTAACAATTACCTGTGAATATGACTGACCCTTTCACCACTGTTTACTCAGTTGAAACAATAGTGAATGGACCTGTCTGCTGATGGGAACATATTGAGACTAGAACACATGATTCAACATTTCCCCCTCATTTTCAGAGTATATCAATGTGAGAAAAGGTGCTGCTATTATGATGATGATTATTATTAATGTTCTAAGATGTTCATATGTATAGGACTACCTTTTAAAATGAAAATATTACTATTTTGCTGCCAAATTTTTGGTACATTACATGAATTAAAAATCTTAATGCAGGAAATGTATCAAGGGCAAAGAGGAATGTATTAGCAAGATGCTACAACTATGCCAGGATTTGTCCAAGCTTTCTGCAAAAGGGAGGATGACTAGTATTAATGAGAGCTATCGCTGCGCTACATAAATGTGAACAAAGACCTCGATTTTTATGTAAAATGCAGACAATTGTAACAGCTGCTGGAGCAGGGTCATACTCGTGAGGATTACAGATCAGATGGAAGTGGTAACAGAATCCGGTTTTGATGTCATGGAGACCTAAGTGACATCAATGTCTCAAAACATTATTAGGATCAGTTTAGCATGTTTCCTGTATTTTCTTTTAAGCACACATGCAATGGATAATTGTAATAATTCCAAAGGGTTCTTCAATATAGTGTTGCCCTGCTACATTTCAAGAACAACTTGAGACAGACAGAACTATATCACAACTGCTAGCACTTAGACCAGTAGCTTCCATGTCACAGTGGAATACATTTGCAACCTGCCACCCAGTTAAGACACTGCTTTGTGTATAATGACGTGCAGAGGCTCATATTTGTACATGCACAAAGTTTTAAATCATGTCAGCTTTCCTAATCTTTTTGATGATTGTGAATTATCCTTTACTGATTTGATTTTTAAGTGTTCAAAACTGTTTAAATGGTGTCTGCATGCCACAGGCTGGGATAAATATATAACAATATTTTAACTTGTAAAATGTGGTAGATGACATTGTCATTTCAACGATATTGGATGGTTAGGAGGTGTCTGAAGCCTATTAGTAAAAGTAAACTACAATTTCTCATTCCTCATTCCAGAAAGCTACCAATAGAGACACTTCTCTTCTCTCTCTCTCTCTTTTTTTTTTTACCACAAGGACAGTCTGAATATATGTCAGAGGCTAAAAAAACTTTTAAAGGGCAACATGTGCAACATCGTGCCCATTACTGTTCTAAAAACCTGAAAACTGCTTATTTGTAATCACACAACTTGGGATGTATGTATTGCAAATGAAGACCTATGGGTATTTGACTTCTGCAACACTGACAGGAATTAAACAAATATACCAGCCCTAAAAAATATTTATTTGGAAACAATTTCAATTGGCAGTAATATCAGAACATGCTATTTTTGGGGGGGTCTCTGTCAAGAATATAAAACTATAACCACTAGGCTTCAATTCTTTATCCCATGTTTTGAAACTTAAGATCTAATTGTCTCCAATAATTTTGAATAGCTCCCCTCCCCCTCCCCCCCGTGGTGATGGTTATCATTCAAATCTTAGATGTGCTGGGGTGTAAAAACATACATGATTGCACATATGTTACAACAAAGTATATGTTATTTTAGGTAACACAAGAGACAAAGATAGTTCAGAACTTGAAAAATGTTAGTTTCAGGGAGTACATCTAAAGTCAAGAGAGAAAACTGCCATAACTGTGACATTTTTGTCATTACCTATATCATTTGGATCTAAAATCATAATGGATTAGCAACAGCTTTAAGAGAATATATATTTTAGCCACAAACTCTATTAGCAGTTATTTCTGTACTTTATAACACTTGTCAATTCACAAATAGGGTATCTGTAATTTCAGTCATCATTGTCAATTATTATTGCAGTCTGAAGCTCCTACATGCTTCTTTGCTGTATTTCTTTTCCCTAGGAGAAGTATCCCCTTCATTATAACAGAAAATGCAGGCAGAGGCTTAAAAAATGTATGTTGTGGGGACAGTTGACAGATTACTCTTCATGCAACTCGATTTTGCAACCCCAGGTATTCACTGGCTCAAAGGCAACTAGAGTCGCTCAACCTCTTTTTGTCCTTGTACCTCCGTACCCAGGTGACCATGTTCAAGCAAGCAGAAAGTTGATTTAAACCTTCATAATGACATCAGTTTTGAGCTATCAGATCTCTCTGATAAAGAAAAGAAAATGTCTTGTATTCTGACCTGCCTGAATTTTCCAAGTGATCTTTTCTCCCCTCTTCCTCCTGTATCAACAGAACTCCAGAATCAGAAGAGAAGACAAAAGAATAGATAATGAACTAATATTTGCCAATATCCAACCAACGCTCCCTTTGTTTGTTTGTTGGATCTCTTGCGCTCACCCTATTTTTAATGTGTCCCTCCAATTTTGTTGGAAGAAAATAGTTATACTACAGCATTAAGCCTATCCATCAATGCTATGACTGTTGAATATCTACTGGTGTCTCTGATGTGTTGCTGCATGTATTATATACTTCATGCATCATCACATCCATTTCTTTCACATTACACATGAGTGTGTCTTGTCACTGCCCAATTGTCCTCTTTTGGACAGCTTAACTGATGTTCAGTAAACTCCACCAAGCAAACCTAACAGTATACCAACTGTGGGAAAACAATAGAAAAGCAGAGTCCAGAGTCCAATGGGTGGGTGTGGAAGAACAGCTTCTGATCTTTCTTGCTAATAAATCTGGAGGTGTAATTAACTCAAGCTATAATTTCTTTATATGCACAAAATGGCACTAGCCTACATGCCTTCTCCTGTAATCATAAACCCCTCCCAGGGAATTTAATAGTTTAATTATTTCCTTCTCTTCTTCACCATATTATCAATGATACATGTGGTAAGAAGGAGACTTTCCAGAGGTCCTGGCCAGGAAGAGTGAGAGACTGAAATGTATAATTCCCTTCTCTTTCATAAGATCACTAAGAAATTTGCCACTTCTAGTCATTACTCTGCATGTGGAATTCTATCCAGTATAAAACCCAAAGCAGGTATTGGACTTGCATGCTGTTACTCCTATTTTATCTAAGTCAGTGGTTCTCAATCTGTGGGTCCCCAGATGTTTCGGCCTTCAACTCTCAGAAATCCTAACAGTTGGTAAACTGTTGAAGGACACCACAATACTGTTAAACATTTTAAAAATCTGGCAAGAATTGAGGTGATCTCTCTCTCTCTAGCCTTTGGGACTGTGTATGCCACTTCCCTGGGATCCTATGGTTAGAAATCCCAGAGCTGCTGCAATAAATGAAGTAGATTTCTAGAAATAATGAAAGTCCCAAGGAGAATATACCCACAGTATCAATGGTAGTTAAGTACGTGTGGACATCTCTTTCACAGATTGATCCAGTAGGTCTACTACTAAATCAGTAACAAGATTTAGACCACTGTCACCATTACTATCAAAACATATCTGAATTTAGAAAAAGGTGAGGAGATCCAAATAAAAGGAATAAATTCACCATGAACAACCAGTGAAGTCTTAAACTGAACTAATAGCAACTTCTGAGATGACTATTCAATTTTGGGAGATGTCTGGAAAGGTTTGAGCAAGTCCCAAATTGTCTCTAAAAACAGCTCCTCCCTCCAAACCATGATAATGACAAACTATCTGACTTTTTTAACTAGAAAAATATGAGCTGATGTTAGTCTCAATTATCTGTTGTCAAACGTTTATGTAAAACAACCATGAATTATGGTGCAGTCATCATATGTAAATGCGTCTCAGAGCAGGTATATGATTCCAAAATTTGGTTATCCCAGTATGCTAAATGCTTTATTCTCCTTTTCTCCTGTTGTGTTGCCCACTTTTAAAACCAGGTTTTATTAGCACCTTGGCCTGTGATGATTTTACAATACATTTATCCTGTTTTATTATTTTTAAAGCATCAAATACTGATTTCTCCACACCAAGCTAATGTTAAATACAGAGGAGCCTGCTTGGCAAAGTTTTGGGATCTTTTACAACTACATAGTATGTAATGTACAACATTTGTGCTGTGGTTTGCTTGTATAAAGTGTGTTAAGAAATATATGTCTAGGCATATATGTCAGTAATTACATAAACTGAATAGAAAGTGCTCTTAGATGCGTTTTGCCAGTTTTGCAAAAGGGTTTTGCAATCTTGTTTTTCTTCAGAACACTGAAGAGTGTTGTTCCTATTTCACAGGAAACAATACTGTTGTTACAAACATATTAGACTTCATACATCTGTAATCCCGGACAGGATGAAGTGACTGCTAGGCATGGGCAAACCATGGTTCTAAATGGTTCTAAAGTACTTACAAAACTAGGGGGGCACTGGTGATTTGCTTCTAAAGTGTTGCTAAAGTTCTGGTGGTGAAAATTTCAGAACTCTAACAAAACTTTTAAAACTTAATTATTATTTCATTACTGGTGATTTTTATAAGAGAACCAATTAGGAACTGCCACTTATAATGAAATTTTGCAAGTTTTATTAGAGTGAAATTTTCACCACTAAAACTTTAGAAGCAAAGCACCAGCACCCCCTAGTTTTGTAATTACTTTAGAACCATTTAGAACCATGGATTGTCCATGCCTAGTGACTGCCTTGCAATGAACTGTGCTGAATACATCTACCTAGGAAGTATTTTGGATGATTCTCTTTTATTGGCCAAAAGTTTAAGACTGTAGCAGCTCCAGTTACACAAAACTCTTAAAAACTGATTGAGCTAAAAAGCAGCACTTGACTATTCTTTGCCATCATCGATCATCTGTACAACTAAATCTGATTCCTAACATAGACATGAGAGATTCATAAGGCTTGTAAATCAACTTTGGAGGTTTCTAGGTAGGAAAAGCAATGAATGACTAACCCTGTAAGAGGTTAATCTATGTATTAATTAGGAAATACAAATATGTGGAAATGCTTTCCAAACAGCAATATATATTTCTAATGCTGGGTTTGTTTCTTAGGTTACCATTAAGACAGAGAAAGCTCCATTTCACACAGCAGCAGCTCTCAAACTCTGCACATACCTTGAGCAAGTGGCTGCAATGGCAAAGTAGGCTGGCCAGGCTGAATTGTTAGCAGACCTTGGCGCTGCAAAGACAGGAGGTGCTGTTGCTGCAGTTGTTGCATCTGTAAAAGCTGCTGCTGAAAGGCCAACTGCTGTGAAGTCACCTGTTGCTGCTGTGGCTGTAAGTAAAAAGAAAATATGTAGTTTTGTCAGCTTGATATCCATTTCCCCTTCAGAGATTGAGAAGAGTTTCTTGTTCCATCTTTCCACAATATCATCGCAAACTTTGTGGGAGATTACATTTCTGGTTAAAACCATAACAAATATTTAATATATTAACAGAAGACAAAAAAAGAGTGTTACAAATATTCAGAAAAAGTTACAGTCAATTTACATCAATTGCTGTTTTTGAAAAAAAAAAATCCAACCCCCAAGCAAACTACAGATTCGGTCTGGTCTGGTGTTCATAAAAGAACACAATAATGGAGCCAGGCAATTTTGGCAGGGGAGGGAATTCTTTAACTTGAGAACCACTACAAAAAAAGCATGTTCATACAGAAATCAGGAGACCCTGATGGCGCAGCAGGTTAAACCGCTGAGCTGCTGAACTTTCTGACCCAAAGGTCGGTGGTTCGAATCCAGGGAGCGGGGTGAGCTCCCACTGTTAGCCCCAGCTTCTGCCAACATAGCAATTTGAAAACATGCAAATGTGAAGGTAACGGCGCTCCATGCAGTCATGCCAGCCACATGACCTTGGAAGCATCTACGGACAATGCCAGCTCTACTCCAGAAGACATTGGGTTCATCTATACCAGGTATGGGCAAACTTCAGCCTTCCAGGTGTTTTGGACTTCAACTCTCATAATTCCTATTAGTGGCAGTTGTAGTCCAAAACACCTGGAAGGCTAAAGTTTGCCCATGCCTGATCTATACTGTAAAATTAATGCGGTTTGAAACCACTTTGACTGCCATGTCTCAATGCTATGGAATCCTGTTACTTTGATGTGTCTGATTAGGTTAAAGACCTTATAAAACTACAGCTCTTATGACTCCATAACTCTGAGTCATGGTGTCAATCTGTTTTCATTATAGGTTACATATGTGCCTTGAGCAAAAAAAACCTCCACTGAGTACACATACAGTATTTTCTCTGCATTCTGTTCAGATCTAGAGGAATGACACTAGATTATTTGCCTATCCAACTTGAACATCTTTCATGAAAAAAATCCACATGCTATTTTGATGAATCAAATAAGGTTTGTCTTAAATGCCAAACCAGACATGTGAAAAAGCTATGCCTGTGTGCCATCCCACTTCTTCTAGCATCAAGTCAATGTGTGCATGTGTACCACATTAGCATGCCATCTACAACTGCGGCATGCGCAGGAATGCTTCATATCCCATTTAAAATCCTCTAATTCTTCCAGGACAAAAAGGTGAGGCTGAAACTGAGGCGTATTCTCATGTCCGTTTACAAGAAATGTTTGCAAAGGAAAGCCTTGCTTTCTGATCCTTGCCAGTTCATACAGTTCTCAGAACTTTTGCTCTGAAAACCCAAACACAGCAAGTAACATCACACCCTGGTATAATATACACGTAATTCTAATGAAAAATAGCCCTGCGCTATGCTCTATTTACTTATTAAAGAATTGTCTCAGCTATTAAGGCTCCAATTGGTTAATCCATTGCATTCTCCATAGTGCCTCTTTCTGTCATGCAATCAATCAATTCGCAGTTCTCTCTCCGCTGTTCTTCCACTCATTTTTTTTTTACCTCAGCGCTTTGAAAAAAATTAATTATTCGCCCTCAGAAGAAGACTAAGTTGCTACAGTCCGCTGGGATCTGAACCCTGAACCTTTGAGGTGTAAAAGAACATGTTGCTTTTCTCACTGCTATACCCGGAGAAGCTTTTAACTACTCTGTTTATCACTTCTGACATAAATAAATGAGAAAAAAATCAGACCTTTGAAGAAGAAAAACTTCATCCAATATTGTTAATTAGCCATGACAAACGATGAAATAACATTGTAAATCTTTCATAGAAACAGCCACTAGATTTTAATTACACACATTCATAATTTAGCAAACAACATCTTATTTGAATGTGTTTAATATGTACAGTACTTGAGGCTTCAGAGTTCTTAATTTTGTTTCACTTAGAGAACCCTTTAGGTTCTGCTTGTCTTTTATTTGCTTTTGTTCTTTAAGCAGCCGTGGAAAAAGCCTCTGCAGTTTTGATAAATATCTTTTCACATACTGTCTGATGACAGAAGGAAACTTTGGTCGCGTAAAATATCAGTGCATCGGGCCAGTGTTTAGCAATTCTTTAAGCCAGCCAAGAAAAAAAATTAATGTAGATTTCCTTAGTAATTATCTGAGTGATAGAAAGATAATACAGTGCACCAGTACAATAAACAGAAGGAAATTATCTAATATCCCCAATCTGTTAGGAATCATATCTAGGTGGAGGTCTTCCATGCTTTTGTCGCTAACATTTCCAGAAAGAAAATTAACCCTTTACAGACAGAAACGTATACATACAATAGGATAGTAGCATGGGAGAGCGAAAAAGAACACAAAGTAGATATGTTTGCCTATAGAAAATGTGTGCATTTGAATGGTGAGATATTTATGTGACTAAGTATTCACTGAAATACAAATTATTCATATACATACAAAATCTAGAATATATATATATATATATATATATATATATAGTCATGGAATAAAAGAGCAGCCAAACAAGACATGTTTCATGTAGTTTTGGAGGAAGAAAAACATACAAATAAAATAAGACATTTCCCTAGCAAAGACTCTTCAGTCAAAGGGCAAAGGACACTTGCCTTCATTGTTGTGGTGGTGCCTTCAAGTCATTTCCAACTTATGGTGGCTCTAGGGCAGTGATTCTCAACCAGTGGGTCCCCAGATGTTTTGGTCTTCAACTCCCAGAAATCCTAACAGCTGGTAAACTCGATGGGATTTCTGGGAGTTGTGGGCCAAAACACCTAGGGACACACAGCTTGAGAACCACTGCTGGTGAACCTATCATTTTTTTTTCTTGGTAGGATTTGTTCAGAGGGGCTTTGCTTTGCCCTTCTCTGAAGCTGGGACAATGGGACTTCCCTAAAGCCACTCAGTAGGCCTCCAGAGTCATAGTTCAACATTCATACCACTATTCCATACTGTCCCCCTGACTTCTGCATTTAGCGCTTCCTCTGTTTCCTTTCTCTCTCCTCCATATTCCATTTCAAAATGAATGGTTACCTCTATTGTAATACTGTATACAGCAGGGGTCATCAAACTTTTAAAACAGAGGGCCAGGTCACAGTCCCTCAAACTGTTGGAGGGCCAGATTATAATTTGAAAAAAAAAACATGAATGAATTCCTATGCACACTTCACATATCTTATTTGTAGTGCAAAAACTGCCACTTAAAGCAATACAATATTAAAATGAAGAACAATTTTAACAAATATAAACTTATTAGTATTTCAATGGGAAGTGTGGGCCTGCTTTTGGCGGATGAGATAGGATTGTTGTTGTTGTTGTTGTGTGCTTTCAAGTTGTTTCAGACTTAGGTTGACCCTGACCAAGGGCTGGGCAAATGACCTTAGAGGGCCGTATTCCACTCCCGGGCCTTAGTTTGAGGACCCCTGGTATACAGTATAGTGGTATTGTACAATATAGTAATATATAATACTAATATTGTGATGTACTAATAATATAATATATTGTATGCACATATAATATTGATAATAATATTATGCAATACAATGTAATACTAATACTAATAATACAATAAATATTGATACATACAATAAGATAATTATATATTTCATATTACATGTAATATTACTAATAATACTACAGTATAGTGGTGTGGTACAATATGGGAATGTATGTTACTAATACTGTGCTATGCTAATGATATAATATATTGTATTTACTTATAACTTGTAACCCACTCTGAGTCTCGTTCGGGGTGAGAGGGGCGGCATATAACTATTGTAAATAAATACTGGGGTAATTCTAATCCTCTGACTCCTCTCAAATAATGAACAAGAGCACAGGGGGGACTGGGACCACAGTCCCAGTCCCATTGCACTGGTTTATTGACAAAATAAATAATGTTTTATTCTTTAACAGAACGGAAAGAAAAAAAATTGCAGAACATTTATTTGTTCAATTACACAACCCAAGACTAAGCCTAGACTAAGGAGGAAATGGCAAGCATGTAATAGGATGTAATCCAATGTTAAGTCCTTCATGATAAGAAGCGGCATTATTTTTCGAAGACACCATCTAAGAAGCATAACATCTGGATTAGTCCTGAGTCAGAGCAGACAACAACATACTTTTTTTCTGAATTGGGGGGGGGGGGTAGCTGCGCACAACAACTGGCAAGGTGCCATCTGTTGCCCTCGAACATCTGCTGCTGGTCACAACAATGAAGAGTGGTGCTTGAGGTCACTACATGGAAACCAGGCCATGCGGAAAGGGAAAGTCATCATTTGAATCCCCATCTTTGCCCTTCCATGGGGCCTGTTGTCCAGCCATGCTGCCCCTGCAAGGCTGAAGGGATACTGCTGTTTCATTCAGCTATTATAAAGACCCAAAGGAAGAAACACAGGGCTGCGTACAGTTATACCAAATCATAGAATCGTAGAATCATAGAGTTGGAAGAGACCTCATGGGCCATCCAGTCCAACCCCCTGCCAAGAAGCAGGAATATTTTTACAATTGAAGAGTCACATTTCTTCCTTGTAAAAAAGGGGAACTGTTTGTTCTGGAAACTCTCTAGCAGTGGTGATCTCTCTCTCCCCCAAATGCACACATACACATATTAACATTTTAAAAAACCCTTTAACAATGGTAAGTGGATTCAGCCACTTACAGGGATTTTTGAGTATGTGTGTGTAATATATATTTTTTATCCACTAAGAGTCTGCATGGGCTTAAAGAATATATATATATATAGCCCATGCAGACTCTGGAAGGCCTTAGTGGATAAAAACCAGTTTTTAGTGGATAAAAACCAGCTACCAGATCCATTTGTTAAAGGTTAAAGGTTCCCCCTCGACATTACGTCTAGTTGATTCTGACTCTGGGGGGTGGGGCTCATCTCAATTTCTAAGCCGAAGAGCCCGCGTTGTCCATAGACGCTTCCAAGGTCATGTGG